CAGGAATGTGACAAGGTAATGGGGGGGGTTATATCCTGTGTGAGCAAAGTTAGTAAGTGTGCAATAACATTAACTAGCATTTAAAGTAAAAAGAAAATCCTTTCTGGTTCAAAATGACAGGAATATAACATGAGATCATCATTAAAAGGTCCTTTGGGGAACCACAAATGGTATTTCTATGGCATCAGTGCAAAACTCTTGCAGCCTTTGTTTTGAAGTGTGAAGCATCCTGCAGGGTTTGTACTGGCCAGGTATCTTAAGTTTGACTGTTTCATGTGATCTTGAAGAAATCTAGTTTATGACGTCCCACATCTGCAGCAGGAAAACAAGCGCTGCGGCGTCTGGAGACGAGGGCGGCCTGGAGAGGTTTGTAAATGTTGGAGTCGTGACCCGGTGGGCCCGTTTGCTTCTTTAGACGTGGACGCAGCCACTGCTATCGATCCTCCTTTAGAAGCGAGAGCAAGTAATTAGTTGGGATTTTTCTGAGAAGCCACCAAAGAGTGTGAGGGCTTGCGAGTGGGAGTGATTTTTCGCCCCAAACATGCACATTGCTGGCTGTGGTCAGGCCTGAGTCTCCAGCGCACTGTCCCATCGTGCCCCGTACAGGAATGTGACAAGGTAATGGGGGGGGTTATATCCTGTGTGAGCAAAGTTAGTAAGTGTGCAATAACATTAACTAGCATTTAAAGTAAAAAGAAAATCCTTTCTGGTTCAAAATGACAGGAATATAACATGAGATCATCATTAAAAGGTCCTTTGGGGAACCACAAATGGTATTTCTATGGCATCAGTGCAAAACTCTTGCAGCCTTTGTTTTGAAGTGTGAAGCATCCTGCAGGGTTTGTACTGGCCAGGTATCTTAAGTTTGACTGTTTCATGTGATCTTGAAGAAATCTAGTTTATGACGTCCCACATCTGCAGCAGGAAAACAAGCGCTGCGGCGTCTGGAGACGAGGGCGGCCTGGAGAGGTTTGTAAATGTTGGAGTCGTGACCCGGTGGGCCCGTTTGCTTCTTTAGACGTGGACGCAGCCACTGCTATCGATCCTCCTTTAGAAGCGAGAGCAAGTAATTAGTTGGGATTTTTCTGAGAAGCCACCAAAGAGTGTGAGGGCTTGCGAGTGGGAGTGATTTTTCGCCCCAAACATGCACATTGCTGGCTGTGGTCAGGCCTGAGTCTCCAGCGCACTGTCCCATCGTGCCCCGTACCATAGCATTTATTTGGCCACTTTGCCAGCCATTGATTTCTAGAGGATGTCTGTAGGGAGCTCTGCAGCTAAATGGCACAGCGGCGGCGGCCGTCAGCGCTCGATAGGGGGATCACGGAGCTTCTACAGGATCCTCTAAACCGCTCGGAGACCCGAATCCCATTAAATCATGTCTTTCTCAGTGGCCTCCCCGTATCCCACCCCACACACACCGCATCCGTGCCTCCTACGCCGCTCCCCTCACTCCTCCACCCTTCATTAGCATCTTGGCATTGTTACCGGCTTCCCGGGGGAAACATCCCACGCAGCTCTGAATGGTTTATCTTCTCGCAGCACAAAGCGGCAGATCGCGGGAGAGAGCGGCTGTGTGTGTGCCCCCTCCCTCCTCTCGCCGGTGTTTGTCAGCGTGTGAGCGGCCTCTCGCTTTCTGAGATCCGGCTCATTTCAACACGCCGCTTTCTGTAGTTCACACGAGAGTCAGATCCAGCGCTCGTCACCTGCGAGTCGGCCCTCACGCGCGCTTCATTGTTCTGAGCCAGTTGTCTTATTAATTTCTCCTAACTGTTTTTGAGGGGGAAGAAGAACAGGCTGTTTTTCATGCACGTTAAGCCATGACATGTTTTCACATTAAATGCATTGAATTGAACGGAAGGTGAATTTACGCTGTTTCCCGTAATGTTATTGCACTGGACTAAAACTTACAGATTTTGCTTAGACTGGGTATAATGACTCGACTTAAAATGTTAGATTTATGTTTGATAATTTTTGTACTTTTTTGGGGATTTCCCCCCCCGACCTTGTCCCACTAGTGGTGTTTAAAAACCTGCTTATAATTCTCCATGTGCTTTATTATTAGCAAATCTTGGATTCAATCTTTTTATCAATGTTTCTCTCGGTTAGCACAGGTTTTGTATTTCTAACTGATTGATTGTAGGCCTCATTTATCTGAGCTTATGCACCTTAGATTTTGATTGCCAAAATTATCCACAAATATGGATGCAGATGACCAGATGTTTTCAATGCAGCCACCCAAATGTTATTTTACAGTCTGATCCATCTCTGTGGCTCTCCAGCCTCCTTCAAACTACACAAATTCCCAAAGTCACCGGTGTGTGATGGAGCAGCTCTACAGATTTCCCATGATGCACCAGTGAGAGTCTGTTGACCCGTTGTGCAGGAAAGAGTTCAAGTTCTCTTTCGCTGGATGCACGCGTTCATCTCGCCCTTCACAACATCCACTCGCCACTGGATTAAGTCTTCATCCTCTTTCAGGAGCGTTTAATTTTCATATGTTCACTCCGGCGGCTTGGAAAAGCAAACAGTCTGAGGCCCATGTGTGATTTCTCTGTCTTTCTTCCCTCCCTCCTCCCTGTCAGTTATAGTTAGCTGCTTATTGGGCTCTACAGCTGAAGATGAGAACGCTTCTGCAAACAGCTGAATATCGAAGAGCGTTTCACGCTTGTTATTGTAGTGTAACTGTCTGCAGATACGTGTCGAGAGCATATTGAGAGGGTCATTACCCGTGAGTCCGTGCCGCGCCGCCGTCTGCAGAGATCAGTCGTATCTCAGCTCTGATATCCAGCATTATGATGCTGTCTGACCTCCGTGATCTCTTCCAAACTTCCAGACTACTTCAGATATAGAACATGAACATCAGAGCCACGGCTTTTATTTGAGAAAAGCACATCAAGCTTTCGATATGGCTCCAGCTTTTATTTCTTTAAGGCCCGATTCAAAGTACATTCATAATAAGTGAACTAATAAGTGCAAATGTATGATAAAATAATTTTGAAATTACAAAAACACAAATTTTTTACAAAAAAAAATATTACAATTATATTTTATATAAATGTACAGTATGTATTTTGTATTATTTTGAGTATACATATATATAGTAAATTGGAGATCGGTGCAAAAGCAAGTCGAATAAAGACAGCAAGGCTTATAATTTTTTCTATTTCAGTATATATTTAATATTTTGAATGTTTTATATTAATATTTATATATTGTGAGGTGGAGATGGAGCAACAGCAAACACATGAAAGCCGGTCTGATGGTTGCTCATGAAAGCAGGAGGTTCGCTCTTCAAAGAGCGCGAGGAAGATGAAGAGCCACATGGAAGGATGAAGGTCCGTCCTGAAAGACCTCCGCTTACGCTGTGAATGACGGCCACAGAAGAGCCGAGGTGTAAAGTGACGGGTTGAAGAGAGATGTCCAGATGACGGCAGCTGCTCTTTGGGAATCTCACCAGGTAAGAGCTGCATGTATTTATAGACGTCTTTGGCATGTTTAATGCTGGGCTCTACTGTGTTTTCCAGGCAGATGGGCACCACATGAAGGCCTGCTCACAACAAGAAGATTTAGTAAGGTAATTACCACGGTGTGTCTAAATACATCAAATAATATGATCTATAGGAGTTTATTAGTTTAAGGCAAAATGCCCTTGAATACCCTACCCTAGGTTATATTCAAATATGCAAATGAGGCATCATGTAATTAAATATGCACTAATTGGCAAACATTTCCAGAACATTAATCTGAACATCAAATGAATCCAGATTCATAACTCTTGTTTGATTTTGGATTTCTCTTTTTCTCACTCCATAAATCAGAAAATACTGTCAACAGACGGAAAACAAACACATCTTCACCATGTTTTCAGGAGTAAATTGTTGTATAAATCAATGCGAATGAGATATGAACAAACCCTCAGGATATAAAGAAGAATAAAACTCTAAAGTTTGGTGTTTGTAAGAGAAAAAACTCTTTAAAGATTCAAATCTACAGAGCAATAAAAGAAACACTTCAATGTGTATTTTGGACGTTTTCTTTCCACTAGTCTGAAAAAACACTTTAAGAAAAGCCAAAGAGCGCAAAATCTGAAAATTGACCAGTGCATGTAAAACTATGTGTTTTTTCCTGTAGTCTCTCGCCTTAATTCAGTCCAAACTTCTTCAATCCTTTGGATTCAAGTCACATTTATTTCTATAGTGCTTTATACAATACTGATTGCTTCAAAGCAGCAACAGGAAAATAACAGTGTTCTACAGAAGACAATAGTGTCATTATTCATGTCATGACACGTAATGTCTTTTATATGTTTCTAGTCACTCTGTGTTTTCCACATGAATGTTGCTCACGATTGTTCACGTTGACGTGCGTGTTTTCTATTTCCGTCCCATCGCTGCTTTCCTGCTCCTCCTTCACCCATTACCAACCGCTTTGATGGCCCAAAGTTCTGCTGCGCATCGAGCCTCCTCCACAGATTTCACTACTCCATCCACCCACCATCCATCCGTTTTTGACTCGGCCCAGGAGGATTATGCCATTCTTCACAGGACGAGATCTCAGCGAGTGGGCAGGAGAGTCAGCAGCGGGCCCCTAATGACACAGCGACACCCACGCACCTCCAAAACCAATTTTACCCTCGCTAAAAGAACAGCCCGCGCACGTTCCCATGCATACAAATGTCCGATCGATGGCAGTCAGCGACTCTCGGCCCGCAGAGATTTAGTGAGCGCCAGATCGATGCGAATGACAGGTGTTAGAACCACCGACCCCTCCAACAACAATCCCTGGAAATCTTGGTTTCCACTCGGCTCTCGTAATCTCATTAGGGACGTGAATGGCTCCCTTTTGAAAGGCGGCGATGCCGGAGAAGAGGAGGGCGGCATGGAGAAGGACTATTGGATTAGAGTAATCCGGGACGAGAGCTTCATTGGAGGGCAGCGTTCCATCTCTTGTGCTGGAGATGCAGATAAGGCCGTCGTCTATTGAGGGCTCGTCAGCGCTCACACTCAGAAGGTGTCTTGCAGAGTAAGCTGACCTGCTTTTGAACAGTCGTGCGTTTGTGAAAGAGGCAGCCATCAGATATATCAAATAACATGATCACAAACGATTCAAAAGCTGGAAGGTGCATCTTTGTACCTTATTTACCTCGAAACGGACATATTAGTACCTTTTGGATGGGTTTGGCCCCAGTTTTTGGTTTACATGAAGTGCAGTCGATAGAAAGTTAACTTGACACATTAACAGCTACAATATACTGCTAGTGAAATCAAAAAATGTACTTGTGAGACGTCATTTCAATCAAAAACCAAGTTCATTTTTGAGTTTTTTCAGCATGCCAACTTTTCAAGTCCGCTCTGGCTGGTAAACACCCCCGAACTACCATTGGTCCGTGCCGATGATGTAATAAGTGGGTGTGGCTCTGGAGCTCCGCCTTCTTGACGTGGAAATCTTCTCCGGTTCTTTTCACCTGTTAAGTTCTTTATGGAAGCATGTTTCTGCCATGGAATAAAAAAAATAAAAAAGTGGCAGAAACAAACAGAATTGTGAGACATAAACTCAGAATTGCTGGATATAAACTTGCATTTTTGTTTTTTTTCTTGTGGTGGAAACAAGATTCCGTAGTCCGTCGAGGTCAGACACAAGTAAAACATGAACTTTTTTGAAGCTTTGAATCAACTGAATCATTTGCTTTGCTAAAAGATTCACTTTTTCAACGCTCTCGAAAGAGCTTGTTGTGTTTGTTTGATTGAGATCTTGGTTAATTAGGCCAATACCAGACTATTAACTACAACTCTTCCTTTTAATTATACAATTGTGACATGAAAAATGTAAATTTATGAAATTCATCCGAGATCAGATAAACACCATATAGAAACTCTCATGGTTTCCATGCCTCGATGCAAATTCTTGAAATTTCGAAACATTTAAAAAGTTACTTAATGAAGCCTCGTTTACTGAAATCACGTGACTCTGAATCACTGGTTTGAAACAAATGCTCGGAAGCATCATGAAGAGGCGTTTCTAAAAGACGCATCTCAAGCGGTCAGAAGTACAAACACGATCACAACGGAGAGCTGCTTACGGTAGACACTGAAGGTGTAATTCTGACTGACACTGTTTATCATGTTTAATAAGGATATATATAATGATTTTAATAAATAAATGTGACCGCAGACGTGCAAATGGCTACGATGCTTTCTTAGCTGCTGCTTTCTCATGTTGTTGAGAGGAAAGCGCATAGCACATATTGACACGTTCATCAGGATGCTTGCTAACAGTAAACCGCTCATTTCCAACTTCTTTTTACCTCTAAGCGACGAGCAATAAGAAGTTTGCCGTGAGCGCATCGGGTCTTCAGTATCTGGTGGTAATTGTGCCGCAGATCGTCTCGGAAAGTTTCACACCGAGTTGAGCAGCTCGTCTGTGCTGGAGATGTGCGGCGCTGAGGACAGCGTGAATAGACAAAAAGGCAGGTGCTGTGACAGCGATTTCTCTGGCAGAGGGTTTTTTGGGATGGAGGGACGGACCTGTCAGCATCTCGGCTTCATAAGAGCCGGCGGGCGCATGAGAGACGCGTGGCATCAGCAGAACCGGAGCGCTGTGCTATTCATTAACGCACATCACGGCTTTGTGTCGTCCTATATGTCCGTCTCCTGGTCATTAAGTCAACCCTCAATGTCAGAAATGTCCAATAGCTGTGGTTGGGTTTGCAACACGAGCTCCAGGTCTGAACCACTGGAACATAATGAAAGTTTTCCGCTGTGTGTTTGCTGGAGAGCCACATATGCATCAAATATGCATTATTTTGCTTCGTTACCGGTGTGTCCGACAGACTGACGATTAGCTGACTCCCACTGAGCATTGATTCTAAGCGTGACACAGCATCTTATGTGATGTATTAGAAAATGGAGCAGAATTTGAACAATTACCTGCATGTAGTTGATATTCAGCAAAATAGTTTGAGCAAAAGTTAGAACTAGAACAAACCCGAACATTGAAGTACAGCTCCAGACACGTGTGCTGCTGCTTTTGCACATGCTAATCTTCAGATCTTGTGCTCTTTTGTCATTGTGTTTGATTGATCTACACTGCCTGCCCAAAACAATAAATTGCACACAATTAATATTCAGCAATAGCACTGATTAAACTGCACTGACACTATCAGATGAGAACAGAACTGAACTGATCTGAAGAATGACTCTGTTGTCATTCTTCTTTTTGATACATTTTTCAGAAAACAAGACTTGGTGTCTGATGTTATCTTGCCTTTAAAGTAAATGTATCTTGATTTAATAATGTTTAGATACTTGTACTTGAAAACGACAAAAAATCCAATCGAATCATTGTTGCCAGAAACATATTAATCACAATCCAATGCTAGCAGTGCGGCACGTCTCAGAGCTTGCCATCATGCCTACTGTAATTAAAGGACTTCCTTGCTTTAGTATCTCAACAAACGGTTCTGTACTCCAGAGTGAATTTGTGGGTGTTATTTGGGCGTTTGTGCCATACGTCTGTCATTGGTTTGTGTCTGTGTTCCCATCATGCTCTTGTCCTGTGCTGGTGGGTTGGTTAACATACGCTCTCTTTCTCTTCTGGAGAGTCAGACGTGATTTAGAAGCAGTTTTTCAAAGCACTGACATCAAATGAGGCCTGGAGCGCTTAAACACATTTCAATAATTCATCAGAACATCTCGCATCCCTGCCAACACCATCAGACCCAGTCTGAGACGCTTATCTAGACCGTAAACCTGGAACCAGCGCTTGGCTTTTGGGTTTAAAGGATCAAATTTGTAAAAAAATTTAAAAATGCCATTCTTCTTACTGGTTCCTTTTTTTTGATGCAGTTTATTCCTGTGTTGAAAACAGTTGTGCTGCTTCATATTATTGTGGAAACTGTGATGCACTACTATTCAAAATTTTGTAAGTATTTTTTTTTAAATAAAAGAATACTTTTATTTATCAAGGACGCATTAAATTGATCAAAAGTGACAGTAAAGACATTTACAATGTTACAAAAGATTTCTATTTCAAATAAATGCTGTTCTTCTGAACTTTCTGTTCATCTGTGAATCCTGAAAAATAAAATGCATCACAGTTTCCACAAAAATATTGTGCAGCACGACTGTTTTCAACATTGATAATAATCCGAAATGTTTCTTGAGCAGCAAATCAGCATATTAGAATGATTTCTGAAGATCATGTGACGGGAATAAATGGCATCTTAAAATATGATCAAATAGAAAACATTTTAAATTGTAATAAATTAAATTAATTTCAATTAAATTACTGTGATCAAATTAATGCAGCCTTGATGAATTTCTTCACAAACATGTCAAATCTGAATTATTCCAAACCTTTGAGTGATAGTGAATCTAAAGAAACTAATTCTAAATCAATAGAAAACATTCATCTATAAGAGTGAGACCCTTGTTTTCTTTACATTTAATGTGCTTTTGCTTATCAGGTGAATGTACTGACGGTGACGCATCTTCACGTGACGTTTGAGTTTATGAGACTCTACAGCTAAATGTTTCACTGAATAAGGACTCAAATGAGTGTCTGTTCCTCACAGAAAACAGCTGAAGATCGACACAAGCGTGTGAAGACCTTCTCAAGACCCTGCAGAGAAACAGGCCGCGTCTACGTCTCAAATTCACTCCACTCTCTGGGTTTGATTGGGACCTCTTCAGGCCGCCGTCGCTGGCGTTTGCATCAGCAGCTTCTATATTAAGCAGCGTGTTGTGTATTAGTTTGTATGATGGAGCGTGTTGGTGCCCACGCTTCGATTGAGACACAGATGGCGCAGTATTTTAGTGGCTGCTGCGTTCGCTGTGTAGGTGTTGAGATTGTACTACATGTACAGAATAACCCCTCCACAGTCTTGGGTTATGTAAAGTTTAACTGCATCTTTGTGTCCAAAAGTTTCAGCAACCAACGAGAGCAGATCATCATGCAAACAATCCTGAGATGAGAGTATTAATGACGTTACTCTACAAATACATCAGATACATTCAGAAGACACCTGTTTTCTATGTGAATCTCTGTTAAACTGTAATGTATTTCTGTGATGCGCAGCTGTATTTTCAGCATCATTACTCCAGTCTTCAGTGTCACATGATCTTCAGAAATCATTCTAATATGCTGATTTGCTGCTCGAGAAACATTTCTGATTATTATCAATGTTGAACACAGTCGTGCTGATGAATATCTGTGTGGAAACTGTGATGCATCACATATTGATAAAAAGTGACAGTAAAGACATTTATAATGTTACAAAAGATTTCTATTTCAAATAAACGCTGTTCTTTTGAACTTTCTGTTCATCTGTGAATCCTGAAAAATAAAATGTATCACAGTTTCAACAAAAATATTACTGTTTTCAACATTGATAATAATCAGAAATGTTTCTTGAGCAGCAAAGCAGCATATTAGAATGATTTCTGAAGATCATGTGACAGGAATAAATTACTTCTTAAAAAATATTCAAATAGAAAACATTATAAATTGTAATAATATTTAAAAATATTACTGTTTTTACATGATTTTTGATCAAATAAATGCAGCCTTGGTGAGCAGAAGAGCCTAAAAACATTAAAAAATATTAACAATAAAAAATTATTCCATGCAGAAGAATATGATTGATCATCTGTGTGAATGCTCATATTTTCCGCTGTACTTCTCCTTTAAACGTGCTCTATATGTGGCTGTTGTCGTGGGTCAGATGAGTCCCAGTCGCTCGTATCAGAGCAGAAACAGATCTTCTGTGGCTCTTTGGGCCATTTTCTGTGTAATGACGCTTTGGCTGTTCTGTGTGTCTCTCAGGTGCTGGAGGAGCGTCGGGGGGGTCCAGAGACACAAAAGCTGAACCCCCCATCGCACGGCAGAAACACTGCTAATTGTCTTTTCCGTCCCGTGAGCTTGTCTCTCCAAAGGCCAGCGACGCTTATGGATTTTCTCGAATGTCATCATAGTTTGGGTTCCTGAGGCAGAGCTACAAATCTACAGACAGCGAGCGCCTTGTTTATCTGCTTACCGCCAACCAGGCCATTATCTGTACGATTCAATGGACAGAATGCTTGCAAGACTCCATCAGAGCCACTGCCAGAACACAGTCAATGAGCGATGCTTTAACAGAAATCCACAATCAGTTACATGCATGCTGTTATTGCTCAGGCGCTTCACGGTACGCAGTCAAACACATTGGCTTTGTTACATACATACAGTGTCTCTGCATCACTTTGACTGTTCTCTGGAGATCACACCTGCTTGCATGCCACTATTGGGTGAGTATGTGCAATGCCTGCTTGCTATTGGTCAAAGTACTTCAGTCATTACCTTCAGCAGATATGAAAACAATAGGAAAACAAAGCAAAACCCGGACACAACAAAACACCGTTTTCAACTAAAAACTGAAAACTTTACATGCATTTTGGCCGTTCATGTACACAACATCAGCACGTTGGGGGCCTGGAAATGCACTTTTCAAAACGGGTTTCAAAGTGCATGTGTTTGAAAACAGCATGACTATTGTGCGCATAATCAGACTCTTCTAACTCAAACTTTAAATCTTGTAGATTTCCAATAAAGTCTGAAAGAGTCATGTGACCATGGCGTAGTTCATTTATAGCCAAAGTTTAGCTTTTTACTTTTTCCAGTTGTATTTTGGCTTCAGAAGTTGTTCATTTGTGAAGATGATGAACAAAACATGCAAGAATAAACTTTTTCTCAAAGAGCTCATTTTCTGCAATCACCCAAAAGCCAATGAGAAAATCATATAGGGTTTTTGTTGAAGGAACCAGAGTGATCATTAATAACAATATAGAGAGTCATTTACAGAGCAGAAGCAGATCAGTTGGGTTTGATGGGTGAGGTATATAGTCTGTTGTTTAATGAGGTTTTCTCTCTTTCTTCAGCGTGAAAGTTCAGGAAGCTCTTCTCTCCCAGAAACGTTGCTTTGGTCGGTCATCTGAGGAGAAGCTCTGCAGGCCTGACACACACACTCACACACGGCTCTGTGATTGACACTGGAGCCGCTGCGTTATTGTCTCTGCGTGGGTTAAAAATACAATGCAGCTGCAGTGTCGCCACGGCGATAAGGGCCGTCCAATCAGATGTCTCTCGGCTGCCAGGATGTTAAAGAACACAGAAAGAGTTGGGGTTCTGCTGCCAGCGGCACATCAGCCGCACGGAGTGAGAAAGGCACGCTGTTTATAGCGTTTCTCTGCTGCTCTCAGACTAATATTTAGGCCTGCATTTAAGATCTATGTATTTGAATTGCATAAAAACTTCCATATGTTTGGATTATGCAATTTTAACATGAACTAATGAACTTGAAGAGATGCATATTTGTCAGTCATACATAAATAAAAGAGGTCAGATTTCTGCACCAGTGTTTTTTTGTTTGTTTGTATCATTGAGATACCAAAGTTAATTTTATTAATATTTTTATTTTCCTTTCTGATTTTAGTGTTAGTTATTTTAGTGCATCAGGTGAAACACATATACACACATTTTATTTCAAGTATCAAAACATGGCATTGTTTATTGTTAAATATTTTCAACTATTTGATTTCATTTAAATAACCATGTTTATTTATTTAAATGCATTTATTCATGTCATGCTTAGAATCACCCTAGATCTGTTTTTAGATAGAAATGTATTTACTAATGATAAATATATAACCTGGTTATTGAGTATTTAAAACACATTCATTATTCATTTATTAGTTCCATTACAGAAATCTGACCGGTTTCATTTATGTTTGGCTGACAAAAATATGCATCACATGAAGTTTAGTAGTTTGTTTATATTAAAACGGTGTAATCCAAATGGGGTTTATAAGCAATTCAAATGCATAATTCTTCAGTTTAGGCCTAAATGTTGTTCTGATGGTGTACAGGTAGCAGGAAAGTATCATGACACTTCCTCTGAATGTTCGACTGAGTAACTCGCGGAGGCTGTGTGTGTTCGGTGCATGTTCTCGACACGTCGTGTGTTGAGCGTTTTATCTCCAGGTTACAGATGCATCTGTGTTGTTCAGGGCTGGATTGATTACATCTTCCCAAACATCCAGCAGACATGGGATCCGCATTGAGCTGCTCTGTGCTTTCAGATGCGGCGAGATTCATTCAGCTGAGGTTAAAGGTCAGCGCTTCCTTTCAGATGCTCAGCTTTGGCATCTGTGCATGAACGTTGCTCGCGCTGTAATACTTGTGAACGCTGGGCTCTCAGAAGTCACACTTCATCCGGCGGCGTGCGGGAGATAAAGCACTATTCTGAGCTCGGGTGGAAGGTCTTTAAGACGAGGACGTGGGTTTCTCTGTAACACGAGCGGGAAACCAACATCCAGAGTAGCCTTGAAAGATGAAAGCGCTCTGTTTGTGAAGGAAATGGCTTTTTCTGTCGTCCTCGTCTGAAACTAGGGTTGATGTACCAGTCACCTTGTCCTTCGGTTTGTTAACCGTCTGTAAACCAATCTGAACTGTGAACATTCCTAGTGATCTTTAAGATTATAATGCTCGGATTATTTTGAGCTTGACTCTCACTCCAGAAATACGTGGGAAGCCGCATGGTGTTTTTCTCCAGAATGTCTTGTTATATTTTCCAGGAGTTCAGCCGTGTCAGTACTGGCAGAAAACAGCAGCTCTTCCTCATTTAACACAAAACAAAAAAAATACATTTCTGTCATATTTTATGTAATATTCCTCATATGCTGGTTATTTTTTTCATGGAACCAGCATAGACCCCCAGTAATTAGAAATGGCCTAATTGTCCACCTCAATATTTGATGTTTGACAATATTTGACAAATATTTAAAAGTTACATTTTTAGGATGTTTATGTGTCGAACAGTGCTCATTAGTGTCGAAACGAAGGCCACTCAAATAAAAAGGCGTGCTTTATTCTGTTCAAAGAAACTGAGCACGAATTCCATCTTGGCTCTTTCGTGGACACTATATCATCATATAGCCTATAAAAGACATTCTCCTCTTCTTCAGATTCTTCTTTTGTGAATAAACTGTGATATAGTTGATGTTTGGTGAGCGACTGCTGTAATATAAAGCGTGATTTGTCATTTAGGACAGCCCAGGCCCGTTAATTACACCGCGCGGTAGCTGGGGCGTCGTACGGGAGAGCAGGAGAATGTCACAATCTGCATTTTTATGGTCCTGTAACTGGTGCTACACCTCCGATGGGAAATCAGCAGACCTCTAATGGCACAAGAGAAGCTGCTTTCCTGCGCTGATGATCGCTGTAGCCGCACCATTTGCCCAATGTCTCCATCATACAGACGTGAGAAAAAGATGCAAATCGCATCAACTAAAAACGCCAATTAAAGCCAATCCAGGTGTCAAATGGAAGCGTTAGGCCCCGATTAGACAGAACGCATTTTTTGCAGTGAGAAGCGCCTTTTTAAAATAGTTTTCTATTGGCAGTGAGTGTTTTGCATGCTGTTTATGCGCCCCGGGTGCCTCACGTTTTTGTAGGAGCGCTCAAAAAAATCTACTCTGAGCAGTTCGCATTTTTTTCCCATTGTCCAATCAAATGCATGGAGAGGCGGGCCTTCCGTTGTGGTGACGGAAGTTTACAGTTGCTGGGAACGTCTGGAGACTGCAATGATGGAGGAGAAACGTGTGGTGGCTCGCGCCATACATATGAAAGGAATGTGGCATCTTCGAATATTCATTGATTATTATGGTGAATGACGTCAAGGCATATGGGTGAGACTTCTGGTTCATTAGCCGCTATAGGGAAATAACGAGAAGAATAACAAAGTCCAGTAAACGGTAAAACTGTTTGCACTACAAACCAGTGTGTTCGTAATTAAGATAATACGTTAAAATAATATGGTAAGAAACACCAGTTTGCAACATCAAGCAGCAAAACGAGCTGTTTTGTACAGCTAAAAAATAGCTGGAAGCGGATGAGACCGGAAGCCAGACACATTCAATTTACAAATGGCTGCGCCCGCTCTTAAGGTGGATAGCGGCCCATAGAAACAGT